ATCTCGATCCGCTGTGTCGGTGACAGTTGAGAGTCCCTGCTTAAGCTTGAATAAATGACCCTCATGTGCTTACATCAGAAACGGCCTCCTGGTGGTCTTTGGGACTTCGTAAACTGGGCACAACATTTGGAGGCCCCTCCGGGATCCCAAGACCTTCAGGATCTCCGTGCCGGAGGGTCAACGCCAGCTGGTAAGTGTGTTTTTGTGTCTGTAAAGTCTGGGCCCATTTTCTGGAAATGTCGGCAGACGGTCTAGGCGGATGCGCTGCGAAGGCCGCTGACCCGGGATCCTGGAAGACGTTCCGGATTCCGCTGGTGGGGACGGAGTGCCCCATGAGTACGAGTCTGTGAGACTCCTGGGGGGACGGTTCGGGTTGCTCCCGCAGTACGGCGTGAGGCCGTCATCCCATTTTCATTGCCTCCTATCAGGCGGAGGACGGTTTTGTCTTGCCTTGTGCTTTTCTGTTGTGTTTGTTTGTCTGTTTATTGTGTTGACTTGGACTGAGATGATGGGACAGACTGTGACTACCCCTCTTTCCCTCATGAAGGACCATTTCAAAGAAGTCAGGGAGCGTGCTCATAACCTAAGTCTAGAAATTAAAAAGACTAAGTTCATCACCCTCTGTAGCTCCGAATGGCCCACACTTAGGGTAGGATGGCCCCCCGAGGGAACTTTTGATTTACAGGTTGTACGCAGAGTTCGTAAGGCCATCCTTCATCCTGACCAGGTTCCCTACATTGTCATTTGGGAATGTCTAATCTATAACCCCCCCATGGGTTAAGCTCTTTTTGCCTCCACAGAAACAGCAGCCAAAGGTAATCCTGACAGCCTGTGAAAAGACTCACAAAGGGTGTGACAACAAAAAGCAAACCGAGACCAAGCCGACCACGCTGCTTTACCCAGTTCTTCAAGGAGGAACAGATGAAGATCTCCTCTTTCCCCCTCCCTACCGCCCACACCCCGCTCCTCCACTCCCACCGGCGGGGACGGAGGAAAGAGGGCCGGTGGCGGCCAAGGCCGAGGCACCTGCCCCAGCGGGCGCCACTGGAGGAGACGGCCCCGCCCAAAACACCCAAAACACTCGTAATCGCTGTGCGGCCTCACTGGCAGGGCCAGCAGATTCTACTGTCCTCCCATTAAGGGCAGCTGGACCCCCTGATGAGCAGGCCCACTTGGGACTTCAACACAGCAGAAGGTAAGGAGAGGCTCCGGGTCTATCGCCAGGCTCTGCTGGGAGGTCTCAAAGAGGCGGCACAGAAGCCCACCAATTTGGCTAAGGTAGGGGATGTACAACAAAAACTAGATGAAAGCCCTGCTGCTTTCTTAGAGAGAATTCAGGAAGCCTTCCGTAGGTATACTCCTATGGACCCAGAAGCAATTGAGACAAAGGCAGTTGTAATAATACATTTTGTCAACCAGGCGGTGCCAGACATTAAGAGAAAGTTACAGAAGGTAGATAGGTTAGGAGAGAAAAGTATTCAGGACTTAGTGACAGTGACAGAGAAAGTGTATAACAATAGAGAAACCGCAGAGGAGAAACGGAAAAAAGCTGATGACCACCAGACCCGAAACTTAGCTTGGATCCTTCTGGCTGCCACTGCAGGTGAACAAAAGGAATGTGAACGTAGACTAAGAAAGATTGTGATGGAAGGAAAAAGCAAGGGGAGACACAGAGAGCGTCCCCAGTTAGGAAAAAATCAATGTGCTCATTGCAAAGAGAAAGGCCACTGGGCCAAGGATTGTCCCAAAAAGAAACAGCAGGAAGGTCGCCCCAAGGCCCCTATCCTGGCTGTGGATGAACTGAGTGATTAGGGGGTATGGGGTTCGGCACCCCTCCCCAAGCCCAGGGTAACCCTAAAAGTGGAGGGGAAACCTGTCGAATTCCTAGTGGATACAGGGGCTCAACATTCAGTCCTACTTGAACCATATGGCCATGTTTCTGATAAAACCTCCTGGGTTCAAGGAGCCACAGGCATGAAAAAGTATTCATGGACTACCCGAAGAACAGTGGACTTGGGAGTGGGCCAGGTAACCCACTCATTCATGATTATACAAGACTGCCCCTATCCCTTATTGGGAAGAGACTTGCTCACTAAATTAAGAGCCCAAATTCATTTTCAGCCCAGAGGCACAGAGGTCCTTAATCAGGAGGGAAAGCCCATCCAGGTGTTAACCATAAGCTTAAAAGATAAATATCTGCTACATC